CCTGGAAACGCCTCTGCCAACAAACAGCTTGTTGCTTTTGTCTTGTCTCTGTAAGCCCCCTCCCCTACTGGTCCTTGCTCAGGCTGCATATGAATCAGCAAATCAATGAAGCCAAAAGATTGTAAGGTCAGACGTCCAACAAATGGACAATGACATAGTTCTGCCTCAGTTTCCCCTTTAGTGTTGTAAGCCTATAAAAGGGGAGAGAAGCTGAAGCTTGGAGAGCTCGGTGAATGAGTCTATAGACCCTCGCAGTTGCCCACTGAATAAAAAGCCACTTCCTTCCTCAGCTTGGTGTTTGATAGGCTTGTTACCCGAAGCTCCTCTTTCACCAAAGTGCTAGGATTACAGGCATGAGCCACCGCGCCCGGCCACAGGCATCTTGCACCTATTCATCAGTGAGAATAAGCAGTTCAGCTCATCATTTATTAAGTAAAGAATGGGAATGTGGAGGGTCTCGTGTTGATATTGTCATGCATAAACAAGGGTGACATCTCTTAAGTCTTATGTAAGTCATATGGAAAGGATTCTTTGCAGGAAGCTGTTTTCTGGAACACAAAGGGCTGAGGGGTTTCTTAACCTTCACTGTTTTCCAGGATCACAGGGCTTAGGAAAAATTCAACATCGTCACTATCCCTCAATAAATTATTATTTTTTTTGAGATGGAGTCTCACTCTGTTGCCCAGGCTGGAGTGCAGTGGTGCGATCTTGGCTTGCTGCAACTTCTGCTGCCCTGGTTCAAGTGATTCTCCTGCCTCATACTCCCGAGTAGTTGGGACTACAGGCACATGCCACCATATCTGGCTAATTTATGTATTTTTAGTAGAGACGGGTTTCAACATCTTGGCCAGACTGGTCCTGAACTCCTGACCTCGTGATCCAGCCCCTCAGCGTCCCAAAATGCTGGGAGTACAGATGTGAGCCACCGCGCCCAGCCCCTCAATAACTTTTTTAAAGGAAAGTGCTATGGTTTAAATGTGTCCCCCAGAGCTCACGTGTTGGAAAGTTAATCCCCAATGCAACTGTTGAGAAGTGGAACGCTTATGAGGTGATGAGGTGAGGAGGACTCTGCCAGTGTGAGTGGATGAATGCTCTTGTTATTGTGGGAGTGGGTTCCTGATTTAAAAAAGAGTTTAGGCCCCTTTCCTCTCTTTCACTTGCTCACTGTCACACACGCTGTCTTGTTCTGCCATGGGATGATGCTGCAAGGGGCTGGCGATGCAGCCCCTTGATCCTGGACTCTTCAGCCTTCAGAGGCATGAGCTACAATAAATTTCTGTGCATTATATGTTATCTGGTCTCAGGTGTTTGATTATAGAAGCACAAAACAGACTGAGATAGAAAAAAAGGAGAGGAATGTAGTCTTCCAGTGACTAGTAGAATGAGCTGCAGTACACGTCTGGCCAGGGGAGCACTCAGTATCCCAGAGGTGACTGTGAGGCAGAACCTCTTCCAAGGCTTCAGCTTCTGTGATGTTGTGATACCACGTAGCTAGGAAGTGGCTTCCAGCACTATTTTCTCCTTGTCACATGAAGGAGATTGATTTAATGGGCTCTCAATTGTCTAATTTTGTCAAGTAGGGAGTATGGAAGTCTGTGTTTTCCTGTCTCAGACATCAGGAACATCTGCAGTTAAAGGGGAAGAAGACGATATCCCTTTTTTTTTTTTTTTGAGACGGAGTTTCACTCATGTTACACAGGCTGGAGTGCAATGGCGCGATCTCGGCTCACCGCCACCTCCGCCTCCTGGGTTCAGGCAATTCTCCTGCCTCAGCCTCCTGAGTAGCTGGGATTACAGGCACGTGCCACCATGCCCAGCTAATTTTTTGTATTTTTAGTAGAGACGGGGTTTCACCATGTTGACCAGGATGCTCTCGATCTCTTGACCTCGTGATCCACCCGCCTCAGCCTCCCAAAGTGCTGGGATTACAGGCTTGAGCCACCGCGCCCGGCCTTTTTTTTTTTTTTTAAGGCAGGATCTCTCCCTGTCGTCTGGGCTGGAGTGCAGTGGTGCAATCTGGGTTCACTGCAACCTCTGCCTCCCAGTTCCAAGCAGTTCTCCTGCCTCAGCCTCCTGAGTAGGTGGGATTACAGACCCACCTCACCACACCCAGCTAATTTTTGGATTTTTAGTAAAGACAGGATTTCGCCATGTTGGCCAAGCTGATCTCAAGTGATCTGCCCACCCCAGCCTCACAAAGTGCTGGGATTAGAGGCCTGAGCCACCGCACCTGGCTGAAGAAGGTGGTATCTGCAAATATCTTACTCAGTGACCTTCAATGTAAAATGTTTTTTGCTTTTAACACATTTATTAAAACATTACCCAAGAAAGCTGTTCTTTTTTTAATCACAAATAAAGAAAAACAAATATATTCTGTCAGCAAATTTCCATAACTTCTGGCCCTGAAGTGTAATCACAGGCTTCAGACTCTTGCTACACACAGCGTGGGCAGGGATAGGCAGCACGTAACCTCCCTTTCAGCCACAGACATCCTCACTGAGAACCTGCATGTTTTAAAGATTACCAGGGGATTTGTGTGCATCTTGAAGTAGGCTACCTGTACCGAACCCACACCCTTTTTTGAAACAGCACTTTCAGGCCCCTGTAGGCCCCAGGATCTTCCCTCTGGATCTTCCCCTCTGAATTTTCCATCTATGGAAGAAAACTACTTTGGGAAAAAAGGGAAGCAGTTTGGGTACTGGGTGCATAATGTTTGGTCATGAAATCAGGAGAATAATGGGAGAATGGAATATTTTCAGTCATCTGGCTGTCAGTAAGCAGAAAAGAAAAAAAAAACCAACAACTAATGTCCTTGGGAAATGCAGGCCGTAGCTATATATTTTGCCCTCCTCCCCCAGAACACAGTCCAATAAAAAGTACAGCTACTGGGGAGGCTGAGGCAGGAGAATCGCTTGAACCCGGGAGGCGGAGGTTGCAGTGAGCTGAGATCATACCCCAGAACACAGTCCAATAAAAAGTACAGAGGTGCTATGACTTTCAGATAGTATGTAGGCTCACACCGCCTATTCATTATGCGTGGCCTATATGTTGCACCCAGTGATTTGCACCCGGCCCTTCACCCACAGCTTGGGACACCACAGCTCCCTTCCAGTGGAAAAGAACCAGAACAGCTGCTGGGCCACATAAACTACGGGCTTGGGAGCCAGTCTGCAATGGAAGTGGCACCCAGCCGTTTGTATTCTCTGTTCTCAAAGGTGCGGGCTGGCACAGGGTGGCACGGGTGGTGGAGGGGCAGTGAGGAACCCTCACGTGGGAAGTAGGAGGGTTTGTGTCACCAGTGCGCAACTATGAGCGGGCTGTGTGGAGTTCCGCTGGGGGGGGGGGGGTTATCAGTCGGCAGCCTGTTTCCCCCACAGCTTTAAACGGGGTCTGTGAGTTTCAGGTAGTACACACGCTCATGTGGCCTATTCGCTACACATGGCGTATATGTTGTACCCGGTGATTTGCACCTGGCCCTTCACCCACGGCTTGGGACGCCAGAGCTACCTTCCCGTGGGAAAGAACTACAATGGCTGCCGGGCCACATGGCAAGTGGCGAGCCTGGCTGCCACTGTCGTCCAAAGAATAAAGTACAGGCTTGGGAGCTAGTCTGCAATGGAAGTGGCTCCCAGCTGTTTGTATTCTCTGCTCTCAAAGGTGCAGGCTGGCACAGGCTGGCATGGGTGGGAGGGGTGAGGAGCTGCCTGGCGCGGGAAATAGGACGGTTTATGACGCCAGTGCGCAGCCGTGAGTGGGCCGTGTGCAGTTCTGCTGGGCGGGGGGTCTTCACCCGACAACCTCTTCCCGCCACAGCCTGGTGGCGCAGTCAGCACAGAGGCGGCAGCCGCTATAGACGTGTGGTGGTCGTGCTGCGCGATAACTCCAGCTTAGAGGCCTCTCTGACAGGTACGGAGCTGGGCCTGGTCAGACACAGCAACCCAGATTACGGGGGATACCCCCAATAACCCTTGCTGTTTTCCACAGGGCCTAGAGGCTGGTGGCAGAACTTCTGGGAGACCTTAGGCTGGGCAAGGCGGCTCAGGCCTGCAACCCCAGCACTTTTGGGGGCCGAGGCGGGTGGACTACCTGAGGTCAGGAGTTGTAGCCTAGACAACATGGTGAAACCCCGTCTCTACTAAAAATACCCAAATTACCCGAGCGTGGTGGCGGGAGCCTTTAATCCCAGCTACTCGGGAGGCTGAGGCAGGAGAATCGCTTGAACCCGGGAGGCGGAGGTTGCAGTGAGCTGAGATCATACCTGCTGCACTCCAGCCTGGGTGGCAAAACCATACTCCGTCTCAAAAAGAAACAAATAAAAAAAAGCTTCCGGGAGGCCTGTTCCACCCTCGACCCTGTGCGGAGACACTGCAGTCAGGACCGTGCCTCCTGACCCTTGCCCTTGCAGGAAAGCGGCTTCGGACCTTCCCTCCTATATCCTGCCGGCTTCCACTGGTGTTGATAGTGGGTTTATATAGATAACAGGGTGGAGATGGAGGGGAACAGGGGAATGGAGGTAGGGGGTTTGGGGAGAGGGGTTAGACTTGCGTGGGGTAAGGACTTGGGCTTGGTGACGGGGCAGGGCTTCAGGTAGGAGTTCGACTGGGGGTGGGGGCAGGGTTGAGGCACGAGCTAGACTTGCGTGGGGAAACGGGTTGAATTTGGTGGGGGCTGGGCTTGGGGTAGAGGTGCATCTTGGGTGTAGGCGGAGCTTGGCAGCAGGGGTGGGAGTTATGGTGAGGTGGCGCTTAGTAAGGCATGCAACATGGCTGCAGAGGCGGGGCTTGGGACCGAGTGGAATTTGCAGTGGGGGTGGGGCAGCAACCTTACCCTAGAATCCCTTCTGCCCTAGCAGCAGCCCCC